TACATGTGTTTACACATATGTAATTGAGTATTTCAAAATGATTGAGGATTGTTGAATGAAGAAGAAGAAATAGGAAAAGCAAGTTTCATTTAGAAAAATGAAGGACAACCTCGCACTTGAAGTTCTTTGAAGACATAACCTAACATAGCAAGTCAATTATGGTACATGAAATGTTTACACATATGTATATGTTTATTGAGTCTTTCAAAATGTTTGAGGATTGTTGAATGAAAAAGAAGAAATAGGAAAAGCAAGTTTCATTTAGAAAAATGAAGGACAACCTCGCACTTGAAGTTCTTTGAAGACATAACCTAACACAGCAAGTCAATTATGGTACATGAAATATTTACACATATGTATATGTATGTTTATGTATAGTATATGTATGCTAGTTTAGGAGGACTGAAAATGGAGTCTTTCAAGATGGAGGACTATTCAAAATGAAGAAGGCAATATTGGAAAAGCAAGTTTCATTTAGAATAATGAAAGACAATCACACAATTGAAGTTCATTGAAGACAACCTAACACAGCAAGTTAATTAATATACATAAAATATTTACACATATGTCCCTGTATGGGTATGCAGTATAATGATTATATAGCATATGTATCACTAATGTAGCTAAAATTGAGTCACTCAAAATGAAGATCCCTGAAAATAAATGAAATACAGGAAAAGTTATTATGAATTAATTTTGAAACTTGTCCCCATCACATGTGTGTGTATGTCCCTATATGTGTATGTAATATAATGATTACATAGCATATGTATTACTATTCTACTTAAAATTGAGTCACCCAAAATGAAGACCCCTAAAAATGAATGAAATATAGGAAAAGTTAATATGAATTAATTTTGAAACTTGTCCCCATCACATGTGTGTGTATGTCCCTATATGTGTATGCACTATAATGATTATATATCATATGTATCACTAGTGTAGCTAAAATTGAGTCACTCAAAATGAAGACCCCTAAAAATGAATGAAATATAGGAAAAGTTATTATGAATTAATTTTGAAACTTGTCCCCATCACATGTGTGTGTATGTCCCTATATGTGTATGCAGTATAATGATTATATAGCACATGCATCACTAGTGTTGCTAAAATTGAGTCACTCAAAATGAAGACCCCTAAAAATGAATGAAATATAGGAAAAGTTATTATGAATTAATTTCGAAACTTGTCTCTATCAAAAGTAACAAGTATTTGAAGTAGTGTCCCGATAAATGGCGCGTGATGCAAAAAGAGGTTGGTTATAACATATCATTCCTGATTCCCGCGGAACCATCCGGCGGATGATAAATAAACAGGAATGTTCGGTAACAAAATTTCATTTCTAACGTCGAACGATGTTACACGGGTTACGATCGATGATTTACGATCCGTTCTCGATCGTAGATAAAACTAACCAGCCGTGCCGGATGAACGAAGCGACAAGCCGTAAAATTTGAAATGCTCGAGCTTTCCTTCGCGCCTTGTAAACGCGTGAAATTGACAGCGTGCCGATTGAGAGCTTATCTTGAGACGTTCTCATTTGCGCGATATACACACTTATTTGCATTTCATCGTTAATTAAAATTGCTCGGTGTTAAGAGCCATTTATCAACAGCCGGTAATCGATATCCGACAAACTGATACACAAATACTTGTTTCGCGAAAATTATATGTTTACTCGGGACACTATTTTATCTTCGATTGTTTCGAGTCTTGTAATCGATCGTCGCTAATTTAATATCGTAATCGGTGATTGAGTTATGTTTGATAAGAGTTTGCTTTGGAAATTGCTTTGGGTGGAGGTATTGGAGGAGAGAGGGATTTGGGGATTTGGGGATTGGGCGATTGGGGAATTTGGGAATTTGGGGATTTAGGGGATTTGGGAATTGGGGAATGTGGGAATTGGGGACTGTGGGAATTAGGGGATTTGGGAATTGGGGAATGTGGGAATTGGGGACTGTGGGAATTAGGGGATTTGGGAATTGGGGAATGTGGGAATTGGGGACTGTGGGAATTAGGGGATTTGGGAATTGGGGAATGTGGGAATTGGGGACTGTGGGAATTAGGGGATTTGGGAATTGGGGAATGTGGGAATTGGGGACTGTGGGAATTAGGGGATTTGGGAATTGGGGAATGTGGGAATTGGGGACTGTGGGAATTAGGGGATTTGGGAATTGGGGAATGTGGGAATTGGGGACTGTGGGAATTAGGGGATTTGGGAATTGGGGAATGTGGGAATTGGGGACTGTGGGAATTAGGGGATTTGGGAATTGGGGAATGTGGGAATTGGGGACTGTGGGAATTAGGGGATTTGGGAATTGGGGAATGTGGGAATTGGGGACTGTGGGAATTAGGGGATTTGGGAATTGGGGAATGTGGGAATTGGGGACTGTGGGAATTAGGGGATTTGGGAATTGGGGAATGTGGGAATTGGGGACTGTGGGAATTAGGGGATTTGGGAATTGGGGAATGTGGGAATTGGGGACTGTGGGAATTAGGGGATTTGGGAATTGGGGAATGTGGGAATTGGGGACTGTGGGAATTAGGGGATTTGGGAATTGGGGAATGTGGGAATTGGGGACTGTGGGAATTAGGGGATTTGGGAATTGGGGAATGTGGGAATTGGGGACTGTGGGAATTAGGGGATTTGGGAATTGGGGAATGTGGGAATTGGGGACTGTGGGAATTAGGGGATTTGGGAATTGGGGAATGTGGGAATTGGGGACTGTGGGAATTAGGGGATTTGGGAATTGGGGAATGTGGGAATTGGGGACTGTGGGAATTAGGGGATTTGGGAATTGGGGAATGTGGGAATTGGGGACTGTGGGAATTAGGGGATTTGGGAATTGGGGAATGTGGGAATTGGGGACTGTGGGAATTAGGGGATTTGGGAATTGGGGAATGTGGGAATTGGGGACTGTGGGAATTAGGGGATTTGGGAATTGGGGAATGTGGGAATTGGGGACTGTGGGAATTAGGGGATTTGGGAATTGGGGAATGTGGGAATTGGGGACTGTGGGAATTAGGGGATTTGGGAATTGGGGAATGTGGGAATTGGGGACTGTGGGAATTAGGGGATTTGGGAATTGGGGAATGTGGGAATTGGGGACTGTGGGAATTAGGGGATTTGGGAATTGGGGAATGTGGGAATTGGGGACTGTGGGAATTAGGGGATTTGGGAATTGGGGAATGTGGGAATTGGGGACTGTGGGAATTAGGGGATTTGGGAATTGGGGAATGTGGGAATTGGGGACTGTGGGAATTAGGGGATTTGGGAATTGGGGAATGTGGGAATTGGGGACTGTGGGAATTAGGGGATTTGGGAATTGGGGAATGTGGGAATTGGGGACTGTGGGAATTAGGGGATTTGGGAATTGGGGAATGTGGGAATTGGGGACTGTGGGAATTGGGGAATGTGGGAGTTGGGGAATGTGGGAATTGGGGAATGTGGGTATTTGGGGATGTGAGAATTTGAAAATCTGAGAATTCGTAGATGTGAGAATTTGAAGATGTGAGATCAGGGAATAGCAAAATTCCAGAAGTGAGTAATTAAAAAATGCCAGAAAAAAAATTAAAAAATGTACTCAATCACTGACTCACCTACTCAAAAGAGCCTTATCAAAAACTAGTGATGTCACGAAGAAAAATAATTGCTAAACAGTATCTATCTAATTGCCAGTTTATCAAAGATCATTTGATGAATTCTTCCTCCCGTTTCATTGATGAGGAACTGGTGTCAGCGATTGCTGGGTGGATCCCTATCTGTAGATTACGATAACTGACGTATCGTGGAATAATTCATAATTGGACGGGACGCTGTTATCAGGAACGTATGAATCAATTACTCGACGAGGGCCGAAGCGGAGTGGAGGCTTGTTTTGCTTCTCGTTCGAACTCGTGGGCGAGATAACAGGGCGCACCGTGCGGCCACAACAACAACGTTACAAAATCACTATTACGAAATCTTTGCGTAACTTCTTCACTAGGGTGACACACGCGAGACGTAATAATTGCTGTTCGGTTTCTTTCGGTCGCTATTTACACGCTGACATCGATAACCATAATAAAAATATTCGAACGAAAGTTTGACTCGTGTGTTTCTTGTTAAAAAGTTTGACTACCAATTTGCATTTAAATTTTTGGTAAATCCAAGGCAAGGTATAAACAAATCGTGCAATTTACAAGACTTCACACTTTGCAGACTTCGATATATCATAAATGGTTTACTGCAGCTATTAGACCTGCTTTGATAGTTGACAATCGGTCCGGCACTTTTCCAGCCCCAACTTTATTTATTTGGAGATTTAACAACTATCAGTAGATTTACCCTTGACACAAGTTCTTTTAGATTGTAGAGTGGAAACGGTAACAGTTCATTTAACAAGTAAATCGTGGAACATCGCGTGAGGTTCGTGGCGCAAACAGACAATCGACCGACTACGAACTAGCCACGTAAATTAACTCCTTTTTTCTTGGCAGCAAAAAACCTCTTCGATATCGCGTACACGATAATACGAGCGTGATTTTGAAATCGGTTTCCAAATCTACCAACGGTCAGACTCTACAACGCCCTTAAAAGGGATACCGTTCTTCAATAAAACTTGTAAATATTTTAAATATTTCTCTATATAATTATACAGTATTTTTCTAACTCTTTCATCATAATTTCTAATCAATAAACATAACAATGAACTCAAACATCAAACTTAATTTCGGTAAACAAGTATGGCCGACCGCCTAACCTAACCTACTTCACCCATCAGGTTAGGTTAGATATCCCGATCACAGTTATGCACCTGCTTAACACTCAGTTTAGAACTTCCTAAAGACCGGACAGTTATCTAAACGATGACTATGTTAATGACTGTCGGTCACTTACCGACGAGTAATCTTTAACCGCTCAATTTTAACGAGGAATATCAAGAGATTAAGCGAACAGAATGAAACATAACCCAAACACAAACGCGTGTGAAACTTATCCAAATCTCTAAAGTACGTACCTCCAGGAAATCTGTGAGGAAAGATCCTTCCATGCCTGGAGAGCAGCCAAGGGTACAGCGGGTAGCTGTCTCTGGGCGGCTGATGTGGATGAGGCGGTGGATGCGGCGCACCGGGTGCACCTCCATGGGGGTAAGGTCCATGAGGCGGTCCATGGGGCGACGCACCGTGGTGCGCTTGAAGGGCAACCGCTAGGTTCGCCGCTTGGAAATGTTGAGCAGCGGCGAGATTCGCGGCCAGAGCCAACTGCTGGGTATGGTACTCGTTTTGGCCAGTTTGGGGCCCGGTTGGGCCATGTCCCGGCAGCCCGTACAGGGATTTCAACTGTTCAGCGGCGACCGCTGCCGCGGTGGCTGCACCGGGTGGCGGTGCCAAGTAATTGGGACTCGGTCTGACCACTCCCGGTGGTGGTTGCGGGTGAGAACCGACGGGAGAGTCACCGTGAGGTATCCTGTGCGGAGGACTAGGGCTGTTGTTGGGCGTGGATCCTCCGCTGTGGCTGTGGACGGCCGTCCGACTGAAATCCAAGTGCGTCGCGGCGGATAGGTGATGATGATGGCCGTGGTGGTTGCCGTGATGGTGATGATGGGTGCCCGGATGGGACGGCGTCCGC